CACTTCGAACGCAAAGAAGAACTTGTCCGATCAATTTGCTTTTGAATCGGTCACAAGCAACAAGGGAAAAGCGAAGGTTGATGATGATGGGAACTTGCTTCCCACCAATGAAGAAGATGATAATTAGTTGTTTGGTTTTTAGATGAATAAGACATTTCGTTAAAATAGTTTGGTTTGCTTTGGATATTTTTATTTGGTACTTGGATATTTAATTAGGGGTTAATGCTTTCCGAATATTTAAGTTTTTCTCATGATTTTCTCTAGGGAACATATAGTTCCCGAGATTTCATGATTGATAATAAAATTTCTTATTTGCTTTAAATACGTGTTTATTTATGTTTTCTATCATCATTTAATATTGTAACTAAAATATAAATAAGCAATACAATTCCAAACATATCATCACTTACTATCTAAACTAAAATAAAAATAAGCAATACAATTCCAAACACATCATCACTTACTATCTAAACTAAAATAAAAATAAGCAACACAATTCCAAACACATTATTACTTAATATTTTAACCAAAACACATCATCACTTAATATTTTAAGTAAAATAAAAATAAGCAATATAATTCCAAACACAATATCGCATAATGTTGTTTGAATTGAATTTATGTTCTTTGAAATGCTTTTCTTAATTTCGTACTTATTAGATAGAAATTGATTGATAATGTTATTTTTTTTTTATATTTCCTACAACATGTTGCTTATTAAAATTATCCATATATGTGATATTTCAATATTTGTGAAAATAAAACACTTTAATTTTATTTTTTCGGCCTGTTTAGTCTATTTAGCATACACACAAGAGTATGGAAATACAAAACGGAAAATAAATCCTAATATGTCATTCCTATTTAATTGGAGTCTTTCAACTATATTGTTGTGATTTAGCACTATATTATAACTTATTTCTGTTGTTTATGCCTTTTTATCCTATTTATACTACACGCAAGTCTATTGAAATACAAACAGAATATAAATCCTAATGTATGCCATTCCTATTTGATTGGAGTCTGTTGCCTAAACAAATGTGCGAAAAATGGAAGCTTAAACCCCGTGAGGAAGGGAATCGAAAAATCTGTTGCCAACTATAGTCAAACCTAATCTATTCAAAATGATCACAACCTAAAATATTGGAATAATTACATCGCAAATCTGTTGACAAATATTATCACAGCCTAAAATATTTGATTTATTGATGTATATGAATAAATCAACAAACGGATGGTAATAAATCTTAGTTCAAAAAACACTCCTATTTTATATATATATATATATATATATATATATAGAATATAAATCTGTTAAGATTTTGCGTGATATATGCAGATAAACATCTTTTCTCAATCATGGAATAAATAATATTGCAATCTTTATAGTAATAGATATTGCAATCTTTATAGTAATATATATATGTATATATATGCACCTTGAATGCTCGATTATAATTGACTGCACTTCTAGGTTAACCTTATTCTTTACATTCTCTCTACTACTTCTTCAAACCATACCTATTTTCTAATCGTATTTATATGTCTTTTTAATTGAAGCATACAGTACCTACATGACCAAACATGAAAGGGGATGCATACAGTAAATATGATGCAAAAGAGCGTGGCCATCTAACAGCAAGGAGTAGCACAAACACAAAGAATAAGGTCAATACACATGGAGAGAATAAATCAGAGTGTGGCCATCTAACAGCAAGGAGTAGCACAAACATAAAGAAACAACCTTCAACACATGGAGAAAACAAATCCTCGAGAACCGCATCTTATCGAATTCAAGTAGATGAGAATTCTAATCCAAGTAAATAGTTTAACCCAATTTTATCTTTACATTTTAAATTTGATTATTTTGATTAATGTGTCCAGTGTTCAAGCTTTCTATGTTCTCTTTTTGTAAAAATAGATAAATTTAAACAAATATTTTACTTATTTTGATGCGTGAACAAAAAAGTTTATTCAAATTTTGCTGTAATTGCTAAATTATGAAAATGGCATTAAATATGTGCTTAATGATGTCTACATGTCGTGCAGTAAACCGTATGTATACTCTTTGTTTACCTTTATTTTTCTATTGCATTCTGTCAGTACTTCTTCTTCCCATCTTTTTTTGGCTTGCACCGTGTTCCTCATGTTCATGCGTATACAAAATATTATGGTTAGTTATTGTAAATAACATTAATCACAACAATTTAAATCTGACTATGCAATCGAAAAAATTTGTATGTAATTATAATAATATATACATAACAATGTCCATTACCTCTTTTGAACAACATATGTGTATGATCACCGTGAATATATAATACCATTTCATTCGATTGGGTCGAACATGACATTCTTCTTCACCTATAAGGCAACAGGTAAGAATAAAATTATTCAGATTGAACAGTTAATTTAAAAAAATATTAATCTGATTAAATAGACTGCGAATTAACACTGATTGTTGATTTTTTAGGGAACGACATACATTCATTTTTAAGAAAGCAAAAGAGATTAACTTGAAAATTGGTACAAAATCGATACACACCTCTATAACTGAACATGATTCAATTTTTTGAAAAAAAAAAAGATTCAGATCGATTCAATTAGGGTGTTTATCCAATAATTTTATACTTATTTTTAAACTTTCATTAATTTTTCGAAAGAGAATTTTCAGATTTCGACCGAAAGCCTAAAAATTAAACCAGATCTATATAACATCATGAAGACAGATTCATAAGAACAACTTCAAAACACAGAAATACAAAAAAA